AGGTAACAAATCATATGGCTAATACAGACAAGAATTATGGGTTAATCTAGGATGTAAGAGTTAATAAGAAGCCTGAGTTAATAGGTCAACCAGTTTATAATTAATGTAGACCTCTGTGTATTTCTTTAACTGTTGTGGGAGAGCCGCTTGTTTGTCCCGGCTGCCCAGAACCAAAATAATCACACAGAAACTGTATTAATTAAATCACTGCTTGACCCATTAGCTCTAGCTTTTTATTGGTTAACTTTTAGACATCTTATTTTAACCCATCTCTATTAAATCTGTGCATCACCACGAGGTCATGACCTACTAGCAAAGTTTCAGCATATCTGTCTCTGGTGGCGACTCCATGGCTTCTCTCTCTGACTCCGCCTTCTTCCTCCCAGCATTCAGTTTAGCTTCCCCCGCCTACCTCTATTCCCTGTGCAGGCCCAAAACAGTTTCTTTATTAACCAGTGGTATTCACAGCATACAGAGGGGAATTCCACATCATTTAACTGAACAACTGCAGGACCAGGCGGGAGAGAAACCTCCGTCAATACCCTCACACACCTTTTCTAATATAGGAAGTTGGAACCCCCTCCCCCATTAACTCAGGAAAGATATACGAGTCTTTAGTAGCAGAGGTAGTAATCTTGACCATGTAAGGTCATGCTGCTTTTCTTGTAGGGCTTGTGGTTTAGAAGGCACAGAAGAAAATCAGTGACTGTTTTAGTAGTTGAGCCTGCTGGAGGCCTGTTTGCCCCCAACAATCCCTGTGTGACCACAGATTGTAGTATGTGGGCCGGCTTGTTGGGGTATCTGTCCTGCACAGTACCCCACAGCTGGCAAGTCCCAGAGAAAATCACACACAGGACTCCATAAGATTATAAACTGATTGGCCCATTAGGTCAGGCTACTTATTAGTTCTTATAACCCATGTTACCCCATTATCCTTAGCTACATTAGCACATGGCTCTGTACCTTTCTCAGCAGGGCAGGTTACATGCTGCCTCTTCAGTGGTCTGCACAGGAATGGTGGAGGGAGCTTCCTCCTCCCTAGTCTTATCCTATTCTCATTGCCCCGCTTCTACTTCCTGTCTGGTTGACCCGCCTATACTTCCTGCCTGGTCAATCAGCATTTTATTAAAATACATGATTGACAGAATACAGACAATTCTCCCACACCAACAGCTCTTGGCCCTTCTGAAACATGGATGAAGAAACTGCAGGCCACCTACCTGCCCACCATTTTGTGTGTTTGTGTGTGTGTGTGTGTGATGTTGTCAACCCTAGCTCTTAGATTGCCCAAAATATTGTCCAAGATCATTGTATTTAAAGATGTGTTTCTGTTTTTATTTGTGTGTGTGTCTCTGTGAATATATGTGGGTGCCCTAGGAAGCCAGAAGAGGGGTCAGATATGCAACTGGAATTACAAGCAGTTGTGAGTCACTTGATATGGGTGCTGGGAACTGATTTCGGGTCCTCTGAAAGAGCAGCAAGTGTGCTTAGCCAGCAGAGTCACCTCTCCAGCCCCAGGAAGAATATTTTAAACTGCAACAAATGTTAAAAAGGAAAGCCAGAACAGTTCAGGGACTTAAGAGAGTGTGGGCGGAGACAGATCCCTGGCCAGAACAGTTCAGGGGCATGAGAGAGTCTACAGAGAGATAGATTCCTGGCCAGAATAGTTCAGGGGTGTAAGAGTCTGCGTGGAGACAGATCCCAGGTCAGAACAGTTCAGGGGCGTAAGAGAGTCAGCGCTGAGACAGATCCTTGGGGATCCGAGGCTCCTACCGGCTCAGGTGTTTCTTCATGACTTAAGGAGGTACTAGAGTCGATGATCCTGCTTGTTCCTCTCTCCCCCGTATTTCCTGATCTCTCTCATCATGGCTGCAGAGATGGCTTATGGAGCAAAGCACTTGCTGCACATGCAGTACTGCTGAGTTCTAGCCCCGGAAGCCACAAGAAGAGCCGGATGCCGTAGTGCATGCATCTGCAATTCCATCATGCCCCTCTTGGGAGACGGGAGGCAAAGAGAGAACTGCCAGAAGTTCATAGGTCAGCTGGCCTGGTAGATGCAGCTGTGAACAGGAGACCCTTCCAGATACTAGGCTGAAGGCAAGGACTGACACCCACGGCCATTATCTGACCTTCGCATACACACACACACACACACACACACACACACACACACACACACAGAGTCATTAAGAAGTTTACAATATAGGGAAGAAATCAGCTACCCAGCCTCCACGACACCTACGCTTGGCATTCAAGTCAGATAGGCTCACAGCTTGATAGCTTACAAGCTGACCTTGCCAGCCCCTTGTCATACTGGCAGCAAAGGAATTTTAACCTGCCAGGCTCAGCGATGAACCAATTCAGTGAAGAACTCTGCGAGAAGCATTTACATAAAATGTGACGGTTGGCTAAGCTCAGACACAGGCTGCAGCTGAATACTTCATGATAGAAAACACTAGCAGGAGACTGATTCTTGGGTCTTCACCAAGACCTTGTAACTGGAGAAAAGCTGACCAGAAAGGGCGGGTGTCTCTGTTATCTATTGTGTAAAACCCACTTCAGATGCTGACTGACTTAAACCAGTACCATTTGATGGGTTGAAATCCTGGGTTCTTTGTGGCTGCCTTTGCCCAAGACTCGCTCAGGTGAGGACCAGGCTGTGTTGCAGGACTTTTCTCTCCTTGGGATCTTTCATAGAGGTTAGACTGGGGTTCTTTGTGGCAATCTTAGGAGGACACCCACCAAAAGAGCAGGGAGTAAGTAAGAACTCAGTTCCTAAGATCTCATAATATATCCACAGGTCAAAGTGGTCACAAAGTTAGCATGGGAGGGGATCATCTTAGGGTGGGCATGCTTCTTCCAAGTCAGGGGAGTGCTGGGTGAGCAATGACCCTTGACCTTCGGAATAGGCAATTCTAACATGTAAAGGAGGGTCCTTTCACTAGGATGCAAAACAGGTGCTTGACAAACATAAAGGAACTTGGAGTCCTCTTATGAAAAGGCGGATTTCTTCAATGCTTCATAAAAATACTTGTGAATTTTTGGCAGTGGACTTTGGCAGTGGGAAGTAGCGGGAAAAGTGCTGCAGACTGAACCTTGAGGCTTACTGACTTTATATAAACTGCATGCCATTCCTGGTGCCCTAGATGGAGGATACCTGTGCGTGTCTCACCCACCAGAGCTCAAACTTGAGGACAAAATCCTCCCCTCACACGGTTTCTTACCTGGAGTTTGGTATCTTGGGTGTAGTAACACAATCTATCTTGTGTGGGGGCGGGGTGAATGGGCTGGCCAGGGCCGGCAATGTGGTTTCCTCTAACTGGTTCTTTACTCATTTGGCAGGTGGGTGTCTGAAGCTGACGACACTTGCTGAACGCCACAAGGGAGTGCAAAGGTGACTTAAGGTAGGAAGGGTGCAAGGCACAAGTGTGGGGATGTCTAAGCTGGGGTACTGTCTGAATCATTAGTCTTAATCAGTTCATTTGCATTGCTACTGCTTTTGAGGTTAGGCCCGAAGGTAACTGCAGAAAGGACAGCCTCTGCCCATTGCCTTATGTTTATGGATGTTGGGCTGTGTTTTCTGAGTACGTAATATTGAACAGAAATGGTGAATGTCCGTTGTGCGGGCTTTCTGAATCTCTTCAGATCTGTGTATCAACCAAAAAAATTCTGTAAGACCACAAATGGGGGAGTTTTACCAGTACTAAAGATGGGTGGGGATTTATGTGACAAAATGCTTAGGACAGTTGAGTAAAGTGGTCTTTTTTTGTTTGTTTGTTTGTTTTTTTCTTTAGGGTGTCCTTGATCGTTTGGAAATTGGATCTTCAGAAATGTGGATCAGGGCCCACAACACTGAATAGTTGCATCCTATGTGCTTGCTGACTACACTGATAGTGTTTTATGAAACACCCGTGTGCTCTAGAGGTCACCTCATCGACCAGCAGTCCTTCTTAAAGGACCGGTCACAAGCTCTGGAGGAAACCTGGGCAGAACCACAGCTCTTAAAAAACCAGTGTATCAGCATGACTTGGGAGGAGAGACAGGAGAGGCCTGGTTCCCAGGGTTGACTTTGCTCCAGGCGACAGAGCTACCACAAGGGGTTTTAAGGATGTCCTTAAGGTGGTGGTGCACACCTTTAATATCAGCACTCAGGAGGCAGAGGCAGGTGGATCTCTGTGAGTTTGAGGCCAGCCTGGTCTACAGAGTAAGTTCCGGGACAGCTGAGGCTACAGAGAGAAATCCTCTGTGTGTGTGTGTGTGTGTGTGTGTGTGTGTGTGTGTGGTGGTGGTGGTGAGGGAGAGGTGGTGGTGGGGGTGGGTGGGTGTTGGTGGTGGTGGGCACAGACCACAAACAAACAACAGAAAAAACTCAACAAAACAAAACAAAAAAATCTCAACAAAACCTAAGGTACAAAGATGTCCTCAAGTGAAAACATCGCCTTTTTAGAGCTGGAGAGAGAGCAGAAGTTAAGAGCCCTTGCAGTTCTCCCAGGGGACTCAAGTTTTAGTCCTGGTATCAGAAAGCTCAGAACCTCTGGTAACTGAAACTCCAGGGGATCTGGTGCCCTCTTCTGGCCTCCTCAGGGAACACATGCATACGTGTAAACAAAAATAAAGCTTAAAACCTGGCCCTTATTTTGTGTGTCCCTGTGTGCCTGCAAGTACCTGTGTACGTGGAGGTCAAAGGCCAACACCAGTGGTCTTTCCTCTATGGCTGAGACCTAGTTTTTGAGACAGGGTCTCTCATGGATCCTAGATCTCAACTGGTTAGTCGGCTAGCTGGTCAGTGAGAAAAGAGTTCAGGGATGTTCCTTTCCCCTACTAGGATGTTGAGACAGAGATAGAGACAGGGAGGGAGGGAGGGAGAGAGAGTGCTCGTAATACGCTCAGGGTTATGGAGATGCAGAGATCTGAACTTAGGGTGACCAGTAATTTATTGACTCATCTCCTTAGACCCTCAAAGTAGCCTTCTTATACATATGTGTTTTTTCATCTTGCGATAGACCAGTAATAAAATAAGTAAGCGCCACGGCTATGCTAAGTGCTGTACAAGATCTCTGTGGATCTTCAAACCACAATATCAGGAAGTAGGTTTATGACTATTAGGAATGAGTTCATTTTTGGCAAAAGGAAATTAGTAATCCTGAGCCAGTTCAACTTTCAAGTGGTTGATTTAAATTCTGTGTTTGGCTACAAGTCCTGAGTAACATTTAGCTTAGGGCCTTGTGGGGCTTTAATACTGATGAGATAAGGGGCAAGGAATCCCATTGTATTTATGATAAACTCAACATGTGTGTACATGTATAATTTACAAGAAACAAACACTGTCGTCGGAGCATCCCCTTGAGGCGTGAAAGCCTACTTGCATGGGAGGGGAAGGATCTGTATTTTTATTTTGCTTCCTCATAATCCCCAGGCACAGGTCATAGCACAAACTTCCGCCATCAGGCACTGACCTGCTCCAGATATGAAATGGTGCAGCTTTCTGAATGTCCTCAAAGACCGCCCGAAAACAGTTCTGCAGGGGTGGAAGCCAACGCCTCCTGTCTCTACTCAGACATGGTAGAACTTAGAACTTATACTCACTCCCCAAACCCTAACCCTTCCCTTCACCCTCACCAATGGCGGAGGCGCGGCTTGGTGTACCTGGCCTGTTGGCAGTTGACCACGCGATAAAGCACTTCGCTTTGGCGAGCCAGACCCCCTGCTCCCACTCACTGGTTCCCAGACTCGGGGTGCGGCAGGCCTAGCTGCCTCCGCCGGGCCTTGCCAGCGACGCGTGCATGCCTGCATCTGGCGGGCCGGGCGTCCAGGCCTGCGGGGCGCCCGC